CCAAAATTGTATGTGAGAGCTCCTCTATCAATGTACTCTACCAAGTTATATAGTACATTGGAAAGCTTTGACTGCATGTCATGCTTTTAGAAAGTTGTACTCTACTAGCTCTGTAAGACTGTGTCCCAAATAAAAAAGGGTCCTTTCATCAAAAATGATCACATTTTCTGAACATGTATTGCTTTTTGCCATGCATCATAAGTCAGTGAGGAAGCCGTCTTATTGAAGAGGAGATAGTTATATCAAACTCTTTGTAAGGTGGATGATAGCATGACCACAGAAGGTAATTGGATTGTTACCCAAGGCAAGAGAAAAAGTTGTCGATCCTTTCCAAAAAGTACAGTTAAACCTCTCTGCAACTGCCACCTTGGGGACAGATGAGAGTGGCCTTTATAACCTGAGATCAGGCTCTATTTTCGTTTCGCTTTGAGAATTACATTCCAGCGGGCAAGACAAAACGAAAATTTCAGCGGTAGCCGTTAGAGAGAATGTATGAGAACCGCTCAAATTGGGCCTGATCTCAGGTTATGGCCTTTATAAAAAAGTGGCCAGTGTAGAGAGGTTTATAAGTCAATGTATGGATTATTTGTCCGCCAAGACAAAAAAAGTGACCGCTAGTGGAGAAATGTTCAAAAAAGTGTGATGCTAGTGCAAAGTTGTTGATGTTCTCCTTGCTTTGCATGTCACCATTGTTGTTGCAAAAGCTCTTTACTCTCATTAGATGAGTTAACAAATGGTTCTGTTCTCAACAGCATGACAAAGACTGACAGTATTCTTGTTTCATTTAAGGTATGGTCTTTGGAGAGTGGTGACTGCCAGTTGACTCTACCTGGAGACCACTCCTCAGGGGTTTCATGTGTAACTTTTAATGATCAGTGGGTTATTAGTGGTGATAACTGTGGTGAGATCAAGGTAAGAGTAAACTCTGGTGCTCATCACAAATAATTTATGGTATTGTTATTGTGGGTAGTCTTGTCCAACAGCTTTGTAAACTTTTAACTTGTTGGAGCAACTTTAGAATACCTGGTCACAAATTTTCTTGTTGAGTGTGTTGCTATCATGGTCCACAGTCCACAGTCAGTGATAAGGAATTTGGTGTGTAAATGTGTTGCTACCATTGTCTTTGGTCCCATAGTCGGTAAATCTGAAATTGACTAACTGTGTAAATGTATTGCTACTGCTGTCTGTAGTCTCGTAGTCAGTGAATTTGAAATTGACTATGTGTGTAAATCTACTGCTACTGCAGTGTGCAGTCCCAAAGTCATTGACTGTGAACTTAGGCAAGTGTTTAATAAAATCACCTGCATTAAACTGGCTTAATTGAGAACTGTAGGTTGAAGAACAAGGCATATGACATGTTTAGTGTGCTTGTTTTGCTTCATTGCAATGTGCACTGTGGACTGCGGTAGCAGGAGTTGTTGGGGAATATTTCATTGGCCAGGTACCTGAAGATTAGCCAGTTTAGCCAACTTGTAGATAATTATATAAGTTAGTCCCTTTTCCGAGGGGCAGGATAACGAATGGTCAATTCAGTGGAGCACCAATACTGACCCAAAAAGTACATTCTCATGAACTGCAGAGCATCTGAAATTTCTCTCCATGCTCCTTATACTGCTTTAAACTTGTGCGAGGGGAATAGATAAATCTTGATGAAAACCTTACTAGAATAAGCAGGATTCAGTTAAGGATGCCTCAGAAAAACCTACTGAAATAACCCTTTTTTTATTTGCAGGTGTGGGATTTTGCTATAAATAGTCTCTCAGTCTTACAAAGCTTAGACTTACCTTCAGGAACAGCTTGCTAACACCGAGGATCTTGATGTTGCATTCAGTGTTGTATATCTTTTTTCAGATGGAAGTACAATAAATAATAGTAATGTAATAGCCCTCATGCATGTTTACGTCATACAGGCAAGTTTTACCACCAAACCTCGTTTTGAAATTGTAAAGTTGCAATTTGTGTATCGCTGAATTCCTAAGGCAGTGCAGTAAGAGTTGAAAAGAACACCCATGCAAACTGGGCAAATATGTGAAGAATTTAATTTGCTTACAAATGAGGCTTGGTGTGGAAGTGTGCTCATCTGATGCAATCATGCACAAGGGTCATTACTGCCAAAAAGACATTTTTACTTGGTATAGCTTTTAATGACTGGTATACAGTGCATGAACTGGTAAGCTACCTATTAACTGCAAATTTAACTTGGCATTTGTGTCTTTTGAGGTACCTAGGGTATCATATAATACTTATTATTATTGTTCTCTTATATAATGTATATACAATGTACAAAGATATATTCTCCAAAGTTTTAGTCATTTTCCATTGCAACATACAAATTATATTACATAATCTCATTCATGCATCATGCAAGTTTGTGTTATGGGCACTGTCGGTAGTTTTAAGTTATAAAAATAGAGGTTAGATTTATAATAATATTTTTGTTTTAAAATTTAGTATCCATTTAAACTTTCATGATATTCTTCGGGAAAAGAGAAATACTTTGAAAATGACTTAAAATAACTAGTTTTAGTAGCATCTGATTTTTGATAACCTACTGATTAGTCAATCCAATGATTGCTTTTCTTCTCCTGTAAAGCACAGTAATTCTCAAGATTGTGTTTGAAGTCACAAGAAAAAAATAATAAATGTTTTCCCCTAGTGGACAAGTTCAAGAAAGAGCCATTTGAAACGTCCAAACTCCAGTTTGCGGGACACTGTTTTTTTGTTCGGTAAAGTTGGGACTTGTTCAGTTTTGGTAGTTTGCAGACCAAACCTTGAAATTTAGTAGATTTAACTATATTATACCCTAACTTCTGGAATAGTAATATTATTGGTTGATGTATCCTACTTGTCCTTTTTTAAACCTCATGATTATTCGAACATTGGACAGGAGAAAACGTTTCGAACCAAAACTGATTTTCCTTTCCCTGCTGAACACTCACATCATTTTACCCTGGCCTAATTTTTCAATTTTTGGCCATTGTTTAAAACTTGTTTGATTATTCCTGGAAGATTGGAAAATCGGGATTCCACTGTTACAGGAAAGGGATTTTTTTCTCATTTTTTCAACACGTAAAATGTCAGACAATATTCAAAATACACACAGTTTATTCATCATTCTTCACACACCAAAATTAATTCACTTTCCTGTGTTGCATGGCTAATCCTTACCATAACTTAAGCAATATGCGACTGACTAGTCTTCCACAAACTTCAAGATATTAATAACCACCAAATCAAAAATATCCTTAGTGAATCTCATTGATGTTTTGTAGACTAATGGTAAGTGTCATTTATATGGAAGTGGTGCAAAATAATATATTATAAAATATGTACATACACTATGCTTTGCTATACACTCTGTTTTCTTAAAAAATAGCAATAGTTTCTTTCTTACAATATTTAATTCAATCTATAACAAAAACCATAATCTCAACTTTTGTGCAATACCTTTTACTGTCATTCTTAGTATTATTACTCTGAAAAATTAAGAATTGCAAAGTCTACTTGCCTCTGCATGTCATAATGAAATATTGCCGAAAACTGATCCAAATTGCTTGGGCACACAATGTTTGACAGTTAGTTTTCTCACAGGCTCCTCAAAAATTATCTGATAGCTTTTCAAAATATTAAACTTTGCCTATTTAAATCTTTGAATTGTAGTTATTTTATACCCTGTGTTGCATAAGTTGATGAAGGGAGTGCAGCATGATTGCAACCCCATTACTTGTAACAACTGCATCCATCAACTAAGGGTGTAGCCTGCAAACACAGACATATTTCTGGTTGTCACTTAAAAAAACAGGTGGAGAGAAGCGAAGACTGAAAATACCTCTGTGTTCGCGGGCTACTAAGGGTTCTCTTCTTTGTGAAGATCAAAATCCTTCTCTCCTCCAAACTGTTTCTTTGTGTCGTAGGAAGGCTGGAGAGAGGGGAAAATCAAAGAGGTTTCCCTCTTTCCATTGTCCACTGCATACCAAATAATAATATTATTGCTATTTTTAGTGGAAAACCCAGGGGAACCTCTGTGGAGGAGAGAGTCAAAAATCTAAAGAGTCAACAATCCAAGTGGACTCACTGATCTAATCTGACTCCTTTGAAATTTATAATCCATATATATGTACACCAGAACACCTTGTAAAGAACAAGGGCCCTGCCTTATTCTTGCCAGTTGTTGCTAATATAGCTGTCATTCATATGGTAACTACTTATCTACAGTATACAACATAAACTACAACCTAAAAGATCTATAAATTAAGACAACTTCACTTTACATTTCTTTATTTACAAAAATACTGCTTTTAGAGCTAGTGTTTCTTCTTAACTTAAAACCTTCATGTTGTGTTACAAAATTCACTTTTTCTCTTAGAGAATGCTAAATAAAATCTAACATGAAATTCAACATAACTTGTAGGTATGTTAACTTCATGCTTGTACTAAAAGCTCTTGGGGAAACTGGCTACATACTATGAGAATTATGTTTTAAAAAAGAACCTTATACCTGACCTTATGAAAAGTGCATTAGTCTGGATGATTTCTTTTAAATTATGTACATTTTAGATGAGAAAACTTCAGATGATTGCAACAGCAGCTGTTAATTAATGAGACTGCTGTTGATCTGTTAGCAACAGTATTAGAATGAATGATCTATATATAGTTTGAATTATTGTTTTAAGAAGACATGAGTTCTCTGAAGAGGCATTTTTTTAACCTTAATTTGAACTGTAACCATTAGTGCTCATTTAAACATGTTAACCCTTTAAGCCCCAGTATCCACATACAAATTCTCCAAACTGATCTCCATACATCTCCTTTAAGAATTAGTTGAGAGAATTTGATAAAAGGTCTTGGAATTTTCTCTATTATGATCATTTTATTAATTCTCATAACTTTATCTCTTGACAGTGTATGGATATTGTTAGGAGAAACTTGTTGTTGGTCACTATTGAGACTTAAAGAGTTAACGCAAAAGTACTGGATGAGTTGACTTCTATGTTACTGTTATCATTCCAAAAATTATGAGTTGTTCATCTTGGACATAGAACTTATGGGCACTAATTGAAGGAAAAAGCCTACAGCTGGTCATCTTAAGATTACCAAATATTATTATTTTCATCCAGCTCAAAGCAGTCAAAAAAGTCATTCCCAGTCTCTGCCCAGGGATGCTCCTCCTCATACATTAGAGGTGGGGATGGCGGCATGTTGAACACAGACTGTGCAGCATCTGTCAAGGTTGTTGGAGATGGTGTTGCTAAATTTTCACGAGAAGGAAGGAGTCCCACTCCTCTTATTGTTAAGTCCAGGTCAGGATCAACTTGAAAATTCTCCTCAGTACTTTCAGTTGATGGCGGGGGGCTTAAGCAATTGGGCGTGGCAATACCCGAAAGGGTTATAGTAGATAGTGAATTCTCAAAGGAAATTCCGTGAGCATCAGCTATTTCTCTAATGCTTTCATCAATTTCATCATTTGTTAACACTGTCATCCAACTGAATTCCTCCTTAATTCCACCAGAAAATGGTGCAATTTCCTCCTCTTCGTAGAACTCCTCTTCATCACTCTCCGGTTCAATTTTAATTTTAACTGGTTTAAATTTCTTTTTTGCCCATGGTTCATCATTTTCTTGTTTTACACTGTCTGATGGTCTCTTGTTTGAAGCCTTTTTACTTGGTTTTGAAGAAGAGCCTCTCTTAGAAGGCTTCTGTGTGTTAACACCCCTTCGTCTCTTAAAGACTCCATCAACAAACATATCAGCATAAGCAGGATCAATTTTCCAAAAGCCTCCCTTGCCTGGTTCGTTTTTGTTTCTGGCAACTTTTACAAAACATTTGTTTAAGGATAAATTGTGGCGAATTGAATTCTGAAAGATATAAATAATATGAATAAGGTTACAGCAAGCAAGACCTTTTTAATACTGTTGCATGGTGGCAAACATTTCTTTTTATTACATTATAATATTTCTTTTTTTTTACTCATTGTTGTGATACCATTGGACCAAAAAGTACTAATTTTGTGTGTACACTCAGTCAGGGAAAAATAAAATAATATATTATATCTTTTCCACATCCTTTAGTATGACTCAGACAAACTCTCCTCAACTAAAAACTAAGTTAACCAGCACAATGGTCGGTCAGTTAGTTTGTGAGCTGAATTAGCCTCTTTGAAGCAAAATAAAACAAAAATCATAATTTGCTTTGTATGCTAACCGAGGGTCTGACTCATGTCTACCCGAACAGATAAAAATTTAATGGAATACTTTAAAGTATCGTCCCGACTAACTGCCTCTGGGTCTCCAAGGATGAAATATTCCTGAACTGACCACTCCCGAAGACCATGGCCAGTAATGAGTGATGCACTTGTCAACAATACTAATTATTTTTTAATGAGGTCTTGATTTTTCAGTGAATGTGAAGAATCAAAAAATTAGCAGAGAATTTGGAGTAAATTGCTATTACAGTGGTTGTCACATTTTATCAGGGACTAAACCAACATTGCTATTATGGCACATGTACTTATTATGCCTCAAATACCACATGATGGTAGAGTGAAAAATGATTCAATGTTATAATTCACAGTATAGTGTTATTGTCTTGTGTAACAAAGAGATGCTCTTATCGGCAACTGGCAGTCATCTCAGTTTTCCTAGTACCATTGGCATTAAATTAATGACAACAGCTCATTCTCTATTTCTTTTGAATGTAACGGGTCTTTGTTAATAGACCTCCAAAACAAATGATGAAAGTTTGGTTCATTCTTTAGTTTAAGTGATGTGACCTCAACACAGGAAAACTTTTGCGTGTGATAATGCTAAAAAAAATATTAAGACACATTTACAGCAAAGCTGTGAATAATACAAGGCTGGAGAAATGTTTATTAATTGATAACTGGTAAAGCCAAGAGGTATTAGTCTATTTCTGTTTATTCCTGAGATATCACCCCAGAATGATTAACTTCAGTTTTCTCGCAGTTTATTACTTTATAGCATTTTGCAATGATGGTTATAGTTTTTTAACCCTGATCTTGGTGAAAATAATTCAAAAGGAAGCAATGTGTTGCCTCAAAATTATTTGTCTCATTAAAATTATTCTAACTTTGTAATTAACAGTCAAAGAGAATTCATTTGAATATTGAAATATAACTGTGATAGTCCCTAGGTAATTATGTTTTGTAATTTTCTCACCGACTTCCTTTCCATTAACAGTTTGCTTGCATTTTGTAACTTTTCACATTATTTAATGTCTTGTCACCTTATTTTACCATATTTTATAGTGTGAAAACAAATAATAATAATAATAATAATAATAATAAGTAGTAGTTATATTTACTTATCTGAAACTTTCCTACCTACAAGAAATGTTATTGCAAAAAAAGTGAGAGTGAAGTGACACAGTGAAACCATTTTAAAAGTTTTAGGTTTATAAAAACAATGTTGAAGTAAATTTAAGAGTTTGAAAATAATATTCTTTTTTGTAAGACATAATATTATTCTGTTCTATTATTAATTGAAAAGTTTATTTTTAGAATGACTACTGTTTCAGATGGCAAGGAAATTGGCAACAGTTTTAAAAAGTACTTTAGTTATATCCTTTTTCTCATTGCTGGATGTCGTATTTAATATTTTCTTTCTATTTCCTTTTTTATGGAGGGATATTTGCAATCAAATATATTGTTCACTGTAAACTTGAGTTCTACCACCATTGGGGCAGTCAGATTATTTTGTGAAAGAATTACATAAACTGCTATTGTTTCGTCTCGACGTGAAGTAAATAGCCCCGGATTGCCCCGGTGTGAAAATCTGAAAAGTACATTAAAATACATGTCATACAAGGCATTTGCATGAAACCTTCAAATTTCAAGAAAACAAGAATATCGGGGATTTTGTTCCCGAAATCTAATAGTTGAAAGCGAATGCGAGATAAATAATATTATTCGCTTTCCAATGTATAGGACATCGTTATTGGTGGTAATGGTATTATGTAACTGAGACTTGTCTTTAATTCACCGAACGAAGCCGAAAAAATTCCGCCCACGATTATGAATTTGCGGGTATTATTGTAAATGTATTTAAATAAGAAAAGCGAATAAAACAGCGAGCATAACTGCCACTTTTTCCTCTTCGAAAGCTTAAGTTATCCACGATAGAGCAATTCGTCTGCGGTAAAAACACACTTTGTAACATTCGAAAACTGTCCCGCAATAGTGCAAACAATCCATTACTTTTTTTTTTAACTTCGGTGGACAATACTCCTTATGTCTGATCAGCGTTTTTCGCTTCAAATTATTTTGGTAAGGAAATTATTCCATGCAAGTGTAAATAAAATATATTCATAAGCTATCCAAGTGGCCTTTATTTGTAAACCATATTCACAAGCCGCTCCACAAGATCCTATGACCTGCTGTCTGAGTCGATTGCAACCCGCTCTGTCGAAGCAAAATACAGGTTTTCAAAAATTCGAAGCACCCAAAGACAAGCCGCTAATAAATGCGAACAAATTTGTTTAACACAAAGGGAAAAATCTTCCATCAAAATTTGTGCTAATACAACTTATAATCGTATCAATTTAAAAGCCCCTCGTTAACGAGAATATGCGTAACGAGGTAGATCAAACACAATGGTCGGCTGATGGTGTTTAGCCGGTGAAAGTTTGCGCTGAAATCTCGAAAAATAAAATAAAAACTGTAAGATAATTGTTGAAAATTTCGTACCTGCCATGTTGGATCTGCTACTCTGTAATACATGAAGTTCTCCTTGATCCACTTATAAATCGCACTAAGGGTGATCTTGGTCTTATTGGTTTCTCGCATGGCCATACAAATTAGCGTGGCGTAGGAATACGGGGGCTTGTGATTCGCATCATTTTTGTAGTCAATGTTTGGTTCTTTGGAATTGACGTCTTTATATCCGTCGCTGGTGTCGCTTCGATCGTCCGAATCACATGAGTTTGAGGAAGGGCTAGGTGAAGGAGCAATTGAAGTAGTCACCGGCGCGATGTCCTGAACACTGATGCTGTGAAGCCACTGCAGATTGGTCAAACTGTCATCAAGCGATGATTTCTCGTCCTCGTCGTCTTCAGGGTTCTGTGCCTTCCAATTTGCTGCAAATCTCTCGGCATAAGATTGTACTGCAACCGGCATTTTGCTGTTCATAATATTCCCGATAAGTCAAAAGTGTACGCAGATGTCCCGTTTCAAACTACCTACACAGCAAAGCGAACTAATATTGATGTTTTTTCGTCTTTCCTGAACGTTTATCTCGAGTCAGACTGTGCTGGGTTTTCCAGAGGAATTCACAAGGTGAAACACGTAGGCAGGTAGATCGGAGCTTGAAACCTAGAGAACTGTTGCAATTTGGAATCCTTTCGAATGTAAAATAAAACCACTTTGGTGTTTCCGTCAACTGCTAATGTCCACAGGCGACTTGTATATATACTCGCCAGTCGATAAACACAAGTCAACCACAGAAATACCTCCTTCTTGCCGGTAGATAATTCACTATTGAGCTTAAAACGTCAGTAATTATGCTCTAAAATGTGATGAAAACAGGCGAATTATAAGGCAGAATTTGAGTGCTGGTGCTTCGCTAGTTTACCCGGCTGGCGCAATTCATTTCCTTCAAGGTGTTAATGCTCCACAATTTTAAATGCCCCTTGTAGATAACTGGACGCCAATTTGTTCTTTTCTGTATTTAGCATATAGAGGCAAACGCTTATTGCAAGCAATCACTAGCAAATGTAATGAATGACCATCGTTCTCGGGCTTTTGTTCCCGACTAGACCCATTAATCAAAGTAACAAAGGGGTATAAACAACGTTCTGCTATTTCATTGGTAACTTGGTTGCTACGAGTTAATTGCATTATCCGCAGACGCCAAATGCGGGCTTTTGATTGGCTTTGCGTCGCTATGATCCCAAGTTGTTTATATCGAAGGGCGCGTGCGTGAAATAGAACCTTGGCGGAAATGGTTACGAGCTGCTTTGATAAACATTTCACTTGGCAACGGCTTCAAATTTCTGTTCCGGTAAAACTGAATCATCGAGAGACATTTTTTTACAATTTGTTTCTCTTCCGAAGCTTATGCTTTTCACAATGTACGTGCTAAGTGAAGCAACTACGACTGGATTTGAATTAAGACTTGACGTAACTTAACCGCAGAAAGGTTAAGTGTTTCCGCGCTCGATTGCCTCAGGAGAAAATTTCGCAACCCTGTTCGAATGTTCCGTGTTTTAGTAAACGCGCAATTATGCTACATGGGCTGCGAAATTTTACAGCAAAACTGCAAATGCAGTGCAAATGGGTCCCTTTAAAATAATATTGTGCAGTTGCCTGTATAGTTTTATGTATATTTGACTGAATATCAGACAATAAAGACATCCTTACTATTAAAGGATCAATATTATGCAAAGGTTCTTATCTGAATTTTTTTAAAAAACTCAGTCTTGCCCCGGCCTCAAAGACCCTTAAAGGACGGTTATGCTTAAACTCAACCAAAAGAAAAAGGGTTTTTTAGTTTGAATGTATTAATTAGAGGAACTATAATAAAAATACGTTGTTGTCTCATCGTATCTTATACGATAAAGTACAACGCTTTTCGCAAGTATAATATTCATTAGGGTGACCGAAATCCGTGACATCAACCATGTTTTCAACCGGAAGTGTGGCTGTTGACTGGTGTTTGATGAGTGGAGCACGGGTGTTGAGGACATGTTCTTTGTCCAGCCGTGCAACTCAATTTTCAGAAAGGTTCTAGTTTCAGAAAAAAGCAAGTCTAGAGTGTGAAATTTGAAACACTGTTTTATGAAGAATTGTCTTGGAGAGGATTTAAAAATCTGAATTTTTCTAGTATTATGTTAGGATATAGACATTCCGGAGAGTCTTAAACTACAGGGTTTTATGGTTTCAATGTCCTTATTAGCAGGTCTGTCTTGCATGCAGGGTGTTTTGCGTTCACTTTCTTTTTTAATTTTTTTATCTTTTTCTTTATATATATATATATATATATATATATATATATTTTTCGTACTTATTTGTTTTATGATAAATGCCTTTTTACATTTCATTTCAAGGCAAGAAACTCGATAAGATTTTAGTCCACCATTCACAAAACATAAATATTTGTTATTTACCGTCTGGGTAGCCTTTCTTCCTAGGAAAACTATTTTTTTAGATATATTTCTCAGTCTTAGCTTGCGCTGCAGCCGGCCCACGTATCGCGTAAACGATTATTATGGTCAGAAGGTCAGAGAAGGTTTAGAGTGTCTGTAACACAGGCTACTCGGTCTTTGCCTCTTCTGGAATTAAGTTCGTGGACATGTTGAGCAAATTGGGGAGTGCATTCAGACATGGATTAAGAGCTTTTCGAAAAGCCCTTAGGAGAATTGCGAAATTACTAGACGGTAGTATTTTAAGCTTGAAGTTAATTATTAATAAGTTATACCTCTCCGGACGAGGTGGCCACCCTTGGCAGTAATGTAAGACCGGAGAGGTACGATTCCTTCTTACAGGTGTATCGGAAATTTCACGTCGTCAGTCTTGTGCGCAAGGAGACAAAGAAATGTAACCAAAGAGTGTGATACACGAGCAGGGAGAGTTGTATTTTCGCTTTTTAAACCTTTTCCTTTTTTGGTTGTGCCTTTATTGCCTTCACCTTAACTGAGGCTCTATTATGACTCTCCTACAGAGCGAGTTTGCATGTTATAGTATGCATTCTGTATACAACAGAGGCGTAGCGCCTTGTACGCACATATCCCTGTGCGAACAGCTGAAATCTAGGAGAAAATGAGAGAGAAATCTTTCGCTTTATATTGGTGTCTTTACCCGCCTGAATTGTTTAAAGACATCTCGCCCTTTGCTTGTAACCTCCTGGATGGCTCACTGTTTTACCTTTTTTCCGCAAACATTGCTCGTTATCGATAACACTAGAGATGAAAATAAAACAACCGGCTTATTATTGCATTTTCCTTCGTATTTATTTACAGAAAATGTCTTGCGGAAAACGCAGGGAATGGCATTTCTGAGCCCCTAAATTTGAAAAATTTTATGGGGGACCATGCCCCCAGACCCAGCTAGTTTGCTATGCCTTCGGAGGTCCAACCTTTCTTTCCGTGCGTACACCTTCAAAACCTCAATACGTGAGTGGGATTTCGTGCATATCATGACTCATGATTCTGGGCATCACCCACTCTTTGTTTACTTGCGGTATATCGGCTGAATTTCTTATGTCGCAAGCCGGGGTAGCAAGCTATTACTCGACGGGATAAAAAACATTTACACAGATAAAAATAGCTGCACACAGGCTATCCCATGGCGCCTGGCTCTTATTTGACTTTTCACCTCCTGAATGGTGAGGGAAATTCTAAATTTAATTCTGTCAGATATAGAAAATCCAATAGAATCATGCAAGAATTTTGGGAAAGGTTTCGTTCGAATGTAAAGTCGCGGAATGAGTTCGTCCACAGACTCATGAGTTATTCAGTGTGAAACCACATTGCATGTCTTTATTATAATTATATATTGACTGTGGAATCGAAATGGTTAAACTCTTGTATTTCATTAAAAATTAAAAAGTATTTTAAAAGCCACCATGTTTTACCATTTTTCCGTTGTTACTTCCACTTTTTTGTAGCCTGTGTATCAATTATGACTTGCAGAATGAAAAGAAAGGATGGAGAACAAAAAAGCTGCAGATGTACTCAAACCACAATAAATGACAAGCGGCCATATATAGATCGACAGTGTGGGAGGCTGCCGACTCTACCACACAACATCAAAACCAACGTATACTCATAAAATATAAATTCAAATTGCACATGCACTTGCACTTGCATAACTTACAACGAAAACGCTTTTTAAAAATTTCCGTCTTCAGCCCATTTCCGTCTTAGTCGTTTATTAGTGTGTATAGTTGTTTTTCTAAGTTTTTTCAGAGCCTTTTTGCTATTAAGATGCACTGTTTTTTAAGAATCAAATATCTCCAATGAATAATCGCTGAAAAAAATGTAAAGAAAAAAGTCTTTAAATTTTCGAAGGGAGCAATGTTATGTTAGTTTTCAGATAAGAATTAATCAAACATCGTCTCAAGTGTATACATTTGGAACTGCATTATTTTTGCTTCGATTAGCTGGCACCCTAAAGTCGGTCAGTGGTAATCAGTATTGCACAGGTGACGTGCGTGATCAACGCCTCGAAAAACTTAGTAACCCGCTAGCATAATAATAAGTTATAACCTTCAGGAACTGTGCCAGACAAAATGAGTTATTGCTTTTCCGCTGAGCTGTGCAATTAATTCTTTATACTTTGAATGAAAGACAAGACAGAAAGTAGAAATTTTTCTTCTGTTCATTGTCAACTTTATAAAAATACAACTCATCAGTACGTAAATTTTCGGAAAATGTTTTGATAGGAATCTATTTTGTCTGTTGTATCCTTTCTTAAATTTCTGCCTTGTCACTTCTCGTGTAACTGTTTTTAAAATTATAAATGAATAATGTCTTCTTTTATTAGAATTTCGTAGTAAGTGAAGTTCTTCCGTGAACTATATGACAGGGCCGCGGACTTCAGAAAGTTTTTTTTATTGGTTTTTCTGTTTGTTTTTTGTTCGGCTTACTAAACTAGTGTAATTATCTCTGAAGGGAAGTCGTCTGACGGGAACTGAAATTAAGAACAGCGAAATGGTGCCAAAGTTCCCACTTTGTTTCAAAACAAAATTCTATTAAGGTGGCTCACAATGGTTTGTAACGTTTTCAAGCACTTTTTCGCCATTTTATGGATCAAATACAACGTCCTCAGTTTTCTGTTGCTATAATAAAACCCCAAAATTGCCTTGTGATTAATAAAAGACAATATGTGGTCCAATTTTTTGTCATAAATTAACAGGCAACGGGATATCCAGTTAAAACATTATACGAGCAGTAAATACTTTTGTCTAAAAGGGCGATTTCGGTGACTCTGTAGCTCATGGAACCCAGCAGTGATAAATTAGAAGGAAAAGTTATTTTGGTTGCTTTTAGGCTAACAACAACATCCAGGGCTTTTCCATAAAAAAATGGGGAGCGGGGGGCGCCCCGGGCGGGGGGGAGGACGAGGTTGTCCCTCTAATTGTTACTTGTTTGGGGGGAAACTTAATTTCGCAAGAACTGGGACGAAGATATTTTGCGGGATTTAAATTCTCGATTTGGTCTACAAAATTCATTACAAACCGGAATTAGATCTCGCGAAAATTGTCAAAATGCGAATCTACATCTGATTATCATAATTTATTGGCACAACCGACACCGAATAAACCGCTACTTAAACACCTTCCTAGCCCGCTTGCTGACTCGGTAGTTTGTCACTTTACTAGAGAAATTTCTAATAATAATAATAATAATAATAATAATAATAATAATAATAATAATAATAATAAAAATACTTTTGTAATCCGCATTTTTCATAAAAATGTTCAAATGCACCTACATGCTTTTTCGCTTTATCGAGGGAGACAGGAGGGGTCAGTTGAGATCGAAGTTATGGATACAAAAACACCGAGGATCACCACTTGTGCAGGGGGACTTGGAAATTCTAGTCATTCTGGAGAAAATTTCTGGAAAGATTCGTTAACTTTGATTACGAAAGCCTAGGAGGGGCTTGCGACTTCCAGCTTGCTAAAAATTGCGGCTACTGACTTGCTGTTGTGTTATATTTAATAGTGTCATCTGGTGCAGACGAAGACAAAAACATGGCAAAAATCTTCATCGAAATGAATGTAAAGCGGGATGTTAGCAAATGTTTTACGGGAACTATTATTTCGAACTGCCAAGAATGACTTTTCTTGTAGGGAATAAATTCGTCGCAAATTTAAAAACATTATGTGACTTTTTTCTGTTTCTTTATCAAAGGGACATTCAAAATTAGCCAGGGAAAAATTAACCTGAATAATCAGATGAAAAATATTGCACGTTCCAAACGTCGTACTACTTATTAATACAGTTGACTCTCTCTTAATGGACACTTCTATAAGACGGACACCTCCGTAAAACAGACTCCTAGAGTTGGTCCCTGGATTTTTGACTCTAAGACGGACACTAAGTACCGGTCGCAAAGGTGTCCATCTTAGAAAGAGTTGACTTTATAGTGTTATTCTGAGTCAATTTGTGACTTACGACGTCAGTATTCTACTTTAAGTTCTGAGCCGGTTCATTGATTCTGTCCCACTTAGTGTCTCACGCGTGGTGTTTGCATCACCGGAAATGCAGATCCACATTCTGCAGATTCTGTTGAATCATTCACCAATAATGCAAGGCTAAGTGTGATGAGTGTATGGTTGGCTGCGCAAAGCATGACTTGAGCGCCGGCTTGTGGACCTTGTGGTCTCCTTTCATGATAAAAACGCATGACGATCGAGTTGACCAAGTTTACATTGATCATAGTGAGTCAGCTTTTCCCACGGAGGATAAAATATGAACTTCAATTTTTTTCCTAGGCCAACATCATGCACTGGAAGCTCTCGGGACGCGAAAGAGGTGTCCGGAGCTGCCGCTTACGGGAATGTAAAAATACAGAGTTTGTATTTTGTGAAGGCGACCGTATTAAAGTAGAGCTGTCCGCTTACGGGAGTATCCGTTGAGAGCTTTTCACTGTTTGTATTGAGCGATTCCCAGACCGAACGATCAAACCTCTATATTATAAAGATCAACCTTAGAGTAATGTTATGCGAAGAAATTTTTCCGGGTTATATTTAATAGAAAAAAGAAAGCGCAAATCGCAAAAATTATAGTCGACTCTCTCCTAACGGACACTTCTTACAAGACGGACATCTCGCTAAAGGTCCTTGCCTCTCTTTACTCACTTTATTTAACTTTGTATGAGACACCTGATAAGACGCGGACAACACTTTTAGAAGGACGCCTAGTGCCGCTCCCGAAAGCAGTAGCGGATGTAGGGGAGGGGCCCGGGGGACCCGCCGGCCCCCTCCCTTATTTTTAGCAAACTGAGGCTCGCACAGAGGAAAAAATTTTTGGAGACTGACCCCTCCCCCCCCGCCCCCCATTTCAGGGTCTGGATGACCGGGCCCCCTCCTTATCTAAAAGTTTGGATCCGGCACTGCAAAACTATCTGTCAGTTAGGGAGAGTTGACCTTGGAACCTGCGCTGCAAAAATTTTGTTCCATTTCGTAAGCTACCGTCAATCCCCTATTAAGCCCCCCCCCCCCTCTCAAATAAACCCACGTCTCTAATAAGTTCCCCCCCCCCC